TTTGACGTCGGACTCTATAATGACAGACAAATTAAGTTTTATAACTGTGAAACCTAATCGGATACGAGGATGAGGTGGCCAAATAAAATTTCTATTAACTTATACACGAATGGATTAATACTCGTTTTTCTTGTTATTGTTTATAATAATTTTAATATAGAATTAAAAGGAGAATGATTTTTCCTTTTGTACAAAGAAACGTCCATTAATGGTATTTATATTGGTTATCGCTTGTTTTGTAAGTGGAACAGGACTGGCGCGAGAAAAACATGCGGACATCCACTTAAGATAAACGAATCGTTTGATCGTCTTTGATTACCCAGGCAATTACCGCGACAAAAAAAAACTCAGAGATGTTCAGCATTTATTATTTATTATTCCTTACAGTTCTTCAACAAAATTTCTGGTTTATGAATATTTACAAAATTGTAAGGCTGATCGTACTGAATCTTTGTGTACGAAGGATGAAAACGCGAGAGGAGATACAGACGACTGACTAAAAATGCGTGACCAGGCGGACCAGAGACTTGCTCCTCAGTTCGTAGAACAAACAAGTTTTTTTTACATCAATGCCATATCTTCTGGATAATCTAGGAATGAACGTTACGTCAATAAAAACGAAAATTTAAGAGGATATTATACATGGTATTAATTGTTAAAAAAATTATTGTGTATAAAATTATAAAATTTTGTATTTTCCAAAATCCCTTAATTAAATTTTCCCTCAGTAAAAAGCATAATCATTTTTATTCGAAGATCGTGAGATTCGTTCTGGTGTAACGTAGGTTTTAGAAAAACATTTTCTTTATCCTGCCAACGTTTCGATCTTTATTAAGATCATCTTCAGGGCCTCAGATTTATAAGCATTGTTTAAATTTTACAAATACAAGTAGGACATTAAAAAAATGAATTTATACAATGCTAAAAAATTTTAGATAAAAAAAAACTGAAGACGATCTCAATAAAGATCGAAACGTTGGCACGATAAACGTTCGATCTTTATTGAGGTCATCTTCGGGGCCTGGGATTTATAAACATTGTTAAAATTTTACAAATACATGTAGGATGTGAAAAAAAATGAATTTATACAATGCTAAAAAATTTTAGATTAAAAAAAACTGAAGACGATCTCAATAAAGAACGAAACGTTGGCACGATAAACGTTCGATCTTTATTGAGATCATCTTCAGGGCCTGAGATTTATAAACATTGTTTAAATTTTACAAATACAAGTAGGACGTAAAAAAAAATGAATTTATACAATGCTAGAAAATTTTAGATTAAAAAAAAACTGAAGATGATCTCGCAAGAAAATGTTTTTCTAAAACCTACGTCACACCACCGCATCTCACGATCTTCGAATAATCATTGACTAACGGTCACTAAACACCACACAGAATAATTTTTAATAAATTTAAATGCAATTTATAATAAAAATAAAATAAAAATGCGAGAGAAATTAAATGCTACAAAATTGGCAATATCTCTATTCATTTTTGAGCTGTTTACATTATATTCTTTAAAACTTTCTGTGTAATAATTAGTGTCCCATTTTCTTTAAATATTCATCTTTATTGTCCTTTTACGATTGATAATTTGTAATTTTAGCATGTTTTAATTGTGAAATGTGTTATGTTTTGACGTAGATCAGGACCGAAGAAAATTCCCCGGCGGATGTTTTACAACAGAGGTGAAATCAGAAGTACAAGGAAGAAAAATCGGCCTGAGTCATGGTTAAACTTAAGCCAAGAGCGGCCGTGACACTCCTCTCATCGAGAACGGGACCCCCCGTCGCCTGTTTTGTAAATTGCCGTCCCTCGCAATCCTCGAAAACCCGACCCACGTGGGTGACCCACCGTCCGAATTTTATAAATATCCTCCAAGGCAGTCCGAAATTGTCAAAATGCAACTGTATACGGTCAAGTGACGACTGTTCCCTTCTCACCTTGCCGCGAGGTCGGAAGTCCTCTAACCCGGAGTTTGTAATTTGCCCGGACCTTTCTACATCAATTTTTATTCCTACTTCCTTCCGCTTATTACACTGCGCACAACGTTAACATTTCTGGGATGAGGATGAATTTCTGCAATCTCAACCTTGATCTTACGTAATTACTATCTAAACTAACCCTTAATTTTGGAAGAGAGGAGTAAACATTACTATAAAAATGTAAGGTATTGGTCGAAATGAAAAAGTTAGTGCCACGAGCGGGATTCGAACCCACGACCTTAGGCTAAATACCACTTGAGCTATCGTGACTTCGATTCACTCGGACACCAACTTCCAATCTCAACCTACAACTTTTCGAATTTTCCCTCTTTTTGCCATTTTTCAAATGTGGTGTAGTCAGGATTCGATTCTCGCCGAAAAATGAAATGGCCACGGAGAGCTTTAGTGAAGAGATACTTCATTTTACATATTAATCCATTAGATTTCGTGGTCCGATTGACCAAATAACATCTTTCAATTAATTAATTTTTATGTAAGGTATTGGTTGAAATAAAAAAGTTAGTGTCACGAGCGGGATTCGAACTCACGAATTTTCCCTCCTTTTTGCCATTTTTCAAATTCGTAAGGTAGGTTGAGATGGGAAGTTGGTGTCCGAGTAGATCGAAGTCACAATAGCTCAAGTGGTAAAGCAGCGGCGTATTCAGCCGAAGGTCGTGGGTTCGAATCCCGCTCGTGACACTAACTTTTCCATTTCAACCAATACCTTACATAAAGATTAATTAATTGAAAGAAGTTATTTGGTCAATCAGACGACGAAATATAATGGATTTCTATCAAAGAACATTTCAAAAGATAATCTCATTATAAAAGGATTAAAACGATATCATTATTTTTTAATACGTAGAAGAATCTTTTCTGCACCCATAGACAACACTTGCAAGTGTTTTTGCCTTATAATTAATTGATGATCTGATTGTTAAAAATTGTATTAAAATAAATATTACATCTAAACTTCTAAACTTTATAGTATTTTCTATTTCAGGCTTAAATAATACAATTCTTTGAACTTAGTTATATTTAATTTATCATAAATTGGAAGCAAAGGTTTAATTTTATTATAATTATGATTATTATTGATGTGAATAGTGTTATGAGCTGTTTCTCTCTTGTTAAATAGACTTAGATATTGAGATTTTGCAAGTCTAACAAAAAGTCTGAAGGTGTCAGGATGACGGTTACAAGTTTGGTCGAGTGGTATTGGTCGGAGACATGCTACAGGGCCGTAACTCATGCGAGTCGGAGGTTGGCCTTTTCCTGAAATAGTTCTTCGCTCTGAAGAGCAATTGTGGGTGTTCTGCTCACCGAGGAATCCTGATTTCGTCATTTCCCCTCAGTCCAATTTGTTGAGAGAAAAAAAACGAACTTTTGATTTTATTTGTCCAATTTTATGTTTGTACGTTTTGTAGATCTTCAATTATCCAAATTGGATCAATAAAAACTCCTGTGATTAAGTTTCATTAAAGTTTCATTGAATATTTCATATATATTCTTGTATCAACTATGTGGATATATCATTTTACACATGTTTTATTATATGATTGTAATAAGAATATAGCAAAAACTACCTAAGTTTATCAATAACCAAAAAAAGTCTAAAAACAAAATATTTTTCAAGTAAACTAGATTATGAATTATTTTAGTGAAACTAATATGAAATTTCGTTTCAGCACTTCTAGACATTAAATATAAATTTTTGTTTGAATTTAAATTTATCGATTTTTTGACCCCTTTACATTTTAATAAAATAAACGGCAGACCTACACAGTTATCCAGGTTGGATCAACAAAAACTCCTGTGCATTAAGTTTCATTAAAGTTTCATTGAATATTTCATATATATTCTCGTATCAACTATGTGGATATATCATTTTATAGATGTTTTATTATGTAGATTGTAATAAGAATATAGTAAAAACTATCTAAGTTTATCAATAACCAAAAAAAGTCTACAAACAAAATATTTTTCAAGTAAACTAGGTCATAATGTTTTGTTAGTGAAACTAATTTGAAATTTCGTTTCAGCACTTCTAGAGACCCTAAATATAAATTTTTGTTTTAATTTAAATTTATCGATTTTTTTGCCATTTAAAATTTTTCCGATTTTTAAGAAGTTGTTATCTGAATATCTGATTGAAACGGCTACAATTCTAAAACTTTTGCTTGTTTCGTAGTGCTTCGATGATCATAATCTTCATCTTTACTTTTTAGATTCAGGGATTTAAAATTTCTCAAAACTGCTCTAGGGAAAAGTGTGTTATCTAACAAATCTTCATCCTTAAGCTTACAAGGGGATGACCGAGTTGGAAAACCACGGATTAATATTTTTATTTGACTTTTCTAGTTGCTCAAATCAACTTGAATATATCATTTTACAGCATTTTTTGCATGCAGATTGCAATAAAAATATAGTAAAACTATCTAAGTTTATCAATAACCAAAAAAGTCTAAAAACAAAATATTGTTCAAGTGAACTAGGTCATAATTTTTTTTTAGTGAAACTAATATGAAATTTCGTTTTAACATCTCTAGAGACCCCTAAATATAAATTTTTGGTTGAATTTAAATTTATCAATTTTTTTACCTTTTAAATTTTTGCGATTGTTAAGAAGTTGTTTTGTTTTCATCATGAAAATCGGTTTTCTAAAATTTTGAGAAAAATTATGTTAAATTTTGCACTAGGGCTGTCAGTCAGGCAGGAAGAAAAGGTCGAAATTATCAGTCCAAAAATTAATTAATTACACCGATTTCCGCGAAAGTCGGTAACTAAGAATTTTATAACGATAGAATTATGAAAATGAGGTCAAATCAAGTCAAGTTTTGACTATTTTCTGACCTACTTTGTTTACAGAACCTTTGTTAAAATATGCAAAAAAACCAATATTTTGTTGATTTTTCTGTTTAAATTATACCAAATTAGAATAATATCGTCGAAAATTTTTGTTTGCATGTTAAACAAGAATGAAATTGTTAATATATAAAAAATTAAAACTTACGGTTGCGCATCTTCGACCGGAACTGGTGACGGTTGCCTCGGCGAGGGCGGATCTTCGAGCCGAAAATGCGTGATCCTTCTCATCGACTGTCTCAACCATTGCTGTTGCTGTTGCTGCTGCTGAGGCTGTTGTTGCGGCTGTTGTATTTCGGAAGCGGTGCTCGGTCCGGCCGCCCCCGAGTTCGTCATGCCACTGCTCGTGCCGACATCCCCGCCGTCATCCCTTCTACTCTCTTTAGGCCTGGATCGAAAATGAAATTTTAACAAAGCGGTACTTAAAAAGGGCTTTTATACGAAGGAAAATAAGCCGTCGAACCTATACTTCTTACAAAATTTTGGAGCGCGTGACAAAAAAGTAGCCTAAAATTTGTATAATTTTTTCAGTTAAATTATATAATTTTCATATTTAATGAATTAAAGAGTTGTTTTTTACCTGGACGAATTTTCTATTGGAAAAATTTGGCTAAAAAGAAAATTTTTAATATAGATAGTTTTTTTTTTTTTTTTTTTTTTTTAAACAAAAAAGTGTTGTTTAAATAGTCTTCGGGGAGAATCTTGCTGTTACGACAGAGCCGAACATTCACTGAAATTATAGGTTAGATTTGAAATACGAAGGACGTCCTCTTCAGGTGGGAAAAGCGCTTTCCAAAACCGTGATTTCATGTTTGAAGAAAGGACGAAATAATTTTACCAGACCGTCCTCAAATGTACATTTAACCTACACGTTTTCTGTTCGTTTTTATATCGAATAACATCAACTTTTATGAATTTTTTTATTTATACAGGTTTTATGCAGGCCAACGGCTGAAAAAGGAAACAGAAAGCAAAAAGCTCGGAAGTTGGCAGTGATGCAAATTTTATGGTTTTATTGAATGGGCGATGTTTGCCAAGGCGTCTGTCGACACTATGCTATTAGATAATTCAAATAATTCTTGAGGTGAATTTAAGAGAAGTGAAGAACTCAAAAAGAAAATAATTTAAAATATCGGTTTTATTCGAAGGGCGGGAGAAATGAAGAAATGATCTTGATATGTACGAAAGTATAGCTGACAAAAAAACCACTTTGTTTGATAAGATTTTCAAGTTGTAATCCTTTGAACAGCATTCCGAATTAAATAAGAAAGGTAATTTTCAAAGAAATTTAAATAATGATTTATATACTAAGCGGAGTATTATTACGAATTAATTAGAACTTGGAAAAGGACTAGGACGAGAGAAAACATGCGGACAGTCACTGAAAGGTAGCGATACGTGCAAATCCGTCTGCTTAACGAAACTACAACTACTACATCTTCTCAATACTTAAGATCAATTAGAGATCCTGTTATAATATACTGAGTTTTATTATAAATTCATCAGGACCTGGAAAAGACCTAGGTCGAGACAAACATGTGGACATTCACTGAAGGTTGCGGTGTGATCAAATCTGCCGAGCTAACTAACATACAACTTCTCCATCCTAAGAATAATTAGTAAACTCGTTAAAGATAATAGGTGTAGTTTTACTATAAATCCTGCAGAACCTAAAAGTCTTAGGACGAGAGAAAACATGCGGACATTCAAAGAAATGCGGCGATATGGGAAATGCCACATGCTTAACGAACTTAACCTCTTCATCATGCCATACTTAAGATTAATTAATAAACCTGTGGTAATATAATAAGCGGAGTTTTACTCTGAATCCATTAAAACTTGGAATAGTACTAGGACGAGAGAAAAATGTGGACAGTCAGTGGTGACGGATGAAAAAACCGCCTGCTTATTTTAAAGTAAAACTCCTCTACTCCGCATTACTTAAGATTAATTAGTAAACCCATTACACCCACTATCAGGGGTTTTATTATAAATTCATCAGGACTTAGAGATGGGCTTAGGACATTCATTGAAATGTAGCAATATGGGGAACTTAACGGAACTATCTTCTCATCATGCCGTACTTAAGATTAATTAATAAACCTGTGTACTAGGCGGAGTTTTACTATTAATTCATTAGAACTTGAAATAGGACGAGGTAAAACATGCAGGCAGTCACTGAAAGTCCTCCGGTCTGCCATACTTAAATATCAATTTGTAAACCGGTTGCAATATACTAAAGAGAGTTTTACTATGAATTTATCTCCTCTACTTCTACATTCATTATCCTGTATAATTGTCCTAAGCTCAAACGAATAGGGACTTCTTTGTAATTGGCTGGCTACAAACGCCATCAATCTCCTAGACAACAAATTTTCTGCTTAACCGTCAATTCTTACCAAGATGACAGGAAAAATCCTAAATTTTAACTGGAATTTTCTTCTTGTCAAATTTTTTTATCTCATTGGATAAATTTTATAGCAGAAATGTTTCATATTCATTAGGTTAATGCATTTCTATTAATAATTATGTTACCTATTATGCCACGCTATCAAGGATACTTTCAAGTAACATAAATCTAAACTTAAAAAAATATCGAACTTTTTGTGTTTTTTTGAGAATATTTGTTGTTTAATGTATTTTTTATCCTCTGCCAATGCCATATACCAAATACATTACATCCTGCCAGTGTAATGTGTTTTTTCTCTTTTTTAACCCGTCATCTGGCAATCTCTGACTAACAGATTTCTTTGTTTATGACTTCTTTGTTCTGTTCAAAGGATAACGAATTGAAATCCTTGTGAAAACCTCAGATTCTTTCTGTTAATTGGTGAAGAAGAAAAGAATATGCCAGCGTGTACATTTTTGCATTTAGAGAGTACTTCTTTCTTGTTCATTTGTTTTTTTTTTTTCTTCCTTGGATTAGCATTCTATTCAGTTAATTTATCCCTTTTTTCGCTAGTTTCAAATAAAATGATCCATGTTTTTACATGGAATGTTGTATTTTTATTTGTATCAAGTCACTTACCGTGATGGCCACTGGACCATTGGAGGCGGGGTAGGAGGGGTTTCCGGAGTTGTCGGTTCCACCTCGGCTTCCACATCGACCGGATGATTCACAGGGAAAGACGGCGAGGCGGATCGGGTCCTTCTGCCCGGAGATGACCTGTGTCCATCGGCCGACTCCGCCTTCCTCCGACTCCGTCTGAAACTGCCTGCGGTCAGGAGAGCCGGCTCGGTCGAATCGGCGAGAGTCAGGAACTGCCATCCTCCTGCCGAACCCGATCCACCCGGCATGTCCCACGTGTCGTCCCAGTCCAATTCCAAAGGAGGAGCGGACGGTTCGACGTCCTTGTACTCGCCCGTTCCGCTAGTGCTCGGCTCTTCGGAATCGCTCGTCGTCGTGACCATGTTGCCCAGGATCGCGTCTAGGAAATCCGCCTCATCCCCGAGACTCTTGAGCTGGTTGGTCTTCTTCTGGTTTTTCTCCGGGACGATCCTCGCCCAAGCCTCGTCCCATTCCGTGATGAGGAGACGTCGTTTTGCCTGTTCGCATCCTTGTTCCGCTTCTCTCTCCACCGCAGAGCCCCCTCTTCGCTCATCGGCTCCACGCTCCGGTGAACCTTCCTCGAACTCTATCAGGTCGACCTCACCATCCATCTTAACCTGGAAAATTTATAAAAATATATATATTACCTCAAATCATAGCAATTTGGACCAATATAAATGGCCAAAATTGGAACACATTTAAAGCTTTGTTTATTCCTTAAATAGATTTTATTGTTTACTTATTTATTTATTGAAGAGAAGGTATCGACCATTGGAAGTTATAATTTGGTATATGATCAGTATTAGGGTCAAGGAGTAGAACTTGACTACAAATTAAAAAAAAAATAAAATACAGTAGTAGCTACCTGTGCCAAAAATTGGTATTTCTTTGTGTTTATTCTAAGCATTAATGTGTGTGTTTTTTATATCGTTATTGTTTTTTTTACGAGGGTTCGCAACAGCAGACATATAAACGCTCAGGGTGCCGGTGTTTTTGAAACACCGTGTTGTTGTTGTTTTTTTAGTGACCAGTTGTTTAATAATTTGTTGGGGTCGTGAGGAGTGTCAGGAATGAGGTAGTTTAGAAAAACACTTTTTATTTTTTGGCCGACCTTTATGCTTGACTTTATGAAGATGACCCGAATAAAGGTCGAAACGTCGTCAAAAAATGAAAAAAGAGTTTTTCTAAACTACCTCATTCTTGACCACTCGTCACGACTCTAACAAATTACTAAGGATTAAGTTTTTATATTCTAAAATTTAAGTGTCCTTTCTTTATAATTTCCAATATGTCAAATATGTGATAATAGACATCCAGATCAAGCGTTTTCTTTGGAATCTCTGAATTAAACGATCAAGTTTCTCTTCACGCCAATCATCTATCATCCATCTGACCCCTTCTGTTTATTAGCTAATTTTAATCGTCTATGGCAATCTTAATGCTCAGGCACCCTTTAGAAATGTTGAGTAGAAGGAGTCTTTTGTCTTAACTCAATTCTTGGTTTATTTTGTCGAACAGTTGTTTCGCCTTTTCGTTTCATTTTACGCACCGATTTTTAAAGATTAATCTTCTTTTGTGTTGTTTGTGGTACGTTTGTTTATTCCCAAATTTTCAAGGACGTGTGTGTGTTCCAGTTTCGTATCGATTCAATCAAAAGATCAAGGAAAGATAGGCCAGATCATCATAAGTTAATTATTTTTGTTCGAAACTTTATTGTTTAGCATTGACTTCAGCCCAGGTTCCGACTGTCCTAGACCAGAATAACCGTCTTAATATCTTATTCAACCTTTTGGCCCTAGTTTGAATAAATTACCTATTTCATCCTAAAATATTTAGACACTTTTAAGACAGTATTTTGAAGGAAAAAAATATTGGGAGTTTATTTCCTGAACAGGTAGATTTTTCGTCATTTGTCGATTATCGACTAAATCTGTGCTTATTTTCGTGTGCTGTAAAGTATTTTCGTTCAGTTTGTGAGTGTGACGTTTGTATATTCCCACATTTTATTATCTATCCTTAATTATTTCATATATTCTTAAGTATTGAATATTTTTGTTTGTTTCTGATTCTGTCAAAATATATTGCGAAACTGGATGGACCAAATAGTCAAATTGTTGAAAGTCATCAATTAAAATTAATATTTTTTGTTGTAAAGCATAGTTTTAGCATTGAATTCAGCCCAGGTTCCCACTTATCCTTGACGAGAGTGGGTCAAACCGTCTTAAATTCTTATTTCTGATCCTATCAACCCTAGAAACAACAAATTATCTATTTCATCCTTAAATATGTAAATATTTTCAAGGCAGAATTTTTTTAATATTAGAAGCTTATTTCCAGTCTAAGTAGCTTTTCGGTAGTTTTGATGAGTCCCTACTTGATTTTGGGCTTATTTTTGGGTACGGTCAATTTTTTTAGTCATTTCCTTCAGTTTTGGAATTATATAGCAACTGCGGACCAGAAATTTTTGAAGTTTTTTAAAATTTACTATAGTTTTAGCATTGAATTCAGCCCAGATTCCTACTTGTCCTAGACGAGACTAGGTCAAACCGTTTTAATTTCTTATTCCTAATCCTTTCAGCCCTAGTTAATTATCTATTTCATCCAAAAATATTTAGACAGTTTCAAGGCAGTATTTTGAAAAAGTTATTAGGGCTTATTCCCTGACGAGGACGCCGGTTTTTAGCGGTCCGTCCGGCCGGACCTTGAGAAAACTCCCATTCCAAGTACATTGCCACGGCCAGAAAACGAGACTACCGCAAAAACCTTGCAACTTCTACCGGTTCCGAACTGATAATTTAACTTCTAATTGTTAAATAGGTAATAACAAGCAATTTTGTAATAAACCATGGAAATAGTTCCTTAAGGGTGCCGTCCATGTACGTCTGTATCCCTTGTACGGCACCGACAAAGTTCCAGTGTGTTTTTTGGATCTATTATAAATAGGAACAGGGTTCTTTTTGAAGACAACATGACTAATCAAATAGGCACAAACCCCTCAGAGGAACCGGTGCGGGATGACCCGAGCGGCCGGATTTTATCGTTGTGACCCATTTCACTTATTTCCGCCTTTCTTAAATATCAAAGAGCGTCGTGAGCCACAAAAATCAAGGTAGTCTTGATGACTTTAAATGTCTCGGAAGCAGGAAAGAGAAGAATCGATGAGGTCGCCAATTAATGCGGCCAAAAAGAACATAAATACGTCTCCGATGATAGATTCCGAGAAATAAATAGCGAACTGATTCATCCAATTTATTAAACTACAGGGAATAAAGAGAAAATTGGCGATTTTTTTTTAACTTGTTCTTAGTTTCAATCTAAAATTCCACCAGTGTCAGACATAACAACGGCATTCCACCATGGATAAACAGCTCATTTGGCTGAAGTCTGATCGGCCATGATCATTACCAGCGACCATTTCAACTGCACCCTGTTTTCTAGTGATTATTTTATTTAAACAGAAATAAAGAAAATATCTGAAAATGGTAAACTGAAAAGAACAACAGAATAAACAAACCAGAACGATCATGGAAGATCAAAGAGCAGAAATATATCCAACAACGAACAAACCAAAGATTTCTTTAATGTGGGTCTATTCTTTCTTAAATCATTAAAATTTCACTTTAATTTATCATTATCAAACATTATTCTCTTGCGTTTCAGCATTTCACCATCTTTGGGGTTTGTGGCATTATTGAGTCTCTTTCAACGTTGAAGATCTTTTTCCATTTATTTATTTTACAACTGCATACAAAATGCAACAAACAAAAATTATGTTATTTACAACGAAGTACCATGAAAATTAAATTAATATATCTATAGATTAACTATTATGTGAAAGATTTTGGATTGTAGGGCTTGCAATTTGGTAAGATTGGAGTGCTTGACTGTCCTGAATAGCACAAGTCTGTAGGTCCAAACTGGAGCGATTAGGGTAGTGCACAATAATTTTGTGTAAAGCAATGTCAGTTGAGATCTTTTGTCGATTAACTAAGGTTACAGTTAATCTGTTTTAGTTGTGTGTGTGGATTTCACGAAAGTCTTTAATCAAAGTAAAGTCGAAGATATCATATACTACACGCTGGAGGAATTGGGGTATAAATAGACAGGTGGGAGAGTTTTACGATTAAGAGTGAAAACTATGCATTTAGATTTTTGATTGTTAACCTTGATTCTCCACTGTCAAAGCAGTAGAGGAGTGTCAGTAGGAGAAAAGTAAGGGAGCTAGTATGTGGCCCTGAGGGATGCCGACTAAAATGGGAAAAATAAAAGAGGAAGAGGTGCTATGGGTTACTTGGAAGAATTTGTGGATGAGCTAGTATGTAAATGGAAGAATGTCCTTTATCTTCCACACCAAGCTTTCGTGACGCACACGACCAAAGGCCTAGGGTATGTCAAGGCAAACGCCAGGGCAGTTTACGCTTGAGGGAGATGGCGATGGTGTTGACAACATGGTGGGCTTGCTGAATCGTTTGGTAGCTGCGGAATCTGAATCGGTGATTGGGATAATTTTTAAGGATGCGATCATGGTTTGTAGGCAAAGAAGAAGAAGCATTTCGAGTACTAATGCTTATCAATCATAATTGACCATATAAATTATTTTAATTAATTATACTTTTCATCTAAGTTTTTGGTTGACATGAAAAAGTTAGTGTCATTCGAACCCACAACCTTTGGCTCAATACGCCGTTACTCTAACCAGTTGATCTATCAACCTTACGTAAAAATTACAATTAATTTAAATAATTAATAGGTCAATTATGACTGCTAAACATATATGGATTAATATAATAATATTTAAAAAAATAATTACTCTGGTAAAGACTTGCCATGGTCACTTCATAAGTTGCTGAGAATCGAATCCTGATTACACAATTTTTGAAAATATGGCAAAAAGAAGGAAAATTCGAAAGGTTGTAGGTTGAGTTGGTGTCGGAGTGGATCAAAGTCGTAATAGCTCAAGTGGTAACACTATTCATGTGCCACTATGTTTGACGTGTGCTTGTATGCATCCTATGTTCCTTTTGTTAACATAAAATGGGTTTATTAATCTAAAAGTAATACATAACAAAATTCTATACTTGCTGGGTTAGTCTGTGAGACACACTTTGGCTTTTTGCCATCTTCAGTGTGTCTGTTTACCCTTGATATGTTTCTTTTAACATCATTTACCGTAATTAAGACCTAATGTCAAATTCATCTGATAAAGATTCCAAGCCATGTAAATAAGTGTAGTTTTACAATTTTATTAGGTCAATAATTTGACCTAATAAGTCTATTTACATTATATATATATATATACATTTTGTTATCNTATATATATTCTAGATGACAAAATTTCTGACACCTGTCAATATTTGCAAACTAATTTCTTAAAATTTATGAAGAATGATGAAGAACGTACTAATATGATTTATTCACTACTTTAATTATTAATTTTATGATCTTTCATTGGTAAGCCGTAGAATTTAAGCAATAAAAGATCAGTACAACTGTAAAAAATCATAAAATCTCTTCAAATTTGTAAAAACAGTCAACGTCCCGGCACCTAACGGAAGGAGGGAATACTTTCGTACATTCTTCCGATAGATGGCGATTCTTTTGTTTCAGACGGGACTTG